GTACGGGTCGGTTTTACTCGTATTTCTGTTTGTGATGTTAGTGATTTAGTTGTTGTTGTTGTTGTTGTTGTTGTTATTGTTATTATTATCGTTAGTAGAAGTGGTAGGTGTAGTAGTAATAGTAATAGGAGCAATAGTAGTAATAAATGTAGTGGTAGCAGTAGTATTATAAGCATTAATAGTGTTACTAATAATAGTAGTAGTAGTATTTGTGCCATATATATATACATACACACACACACACACACACACACACACACACACACACACACACACACACACACACACACACATATATATATGTACACACACACACACACACACACACACACACACACACACACACACACACACACACACACACACACACACACACACACACACACGCTCGCACACACACACACACACACACTAGCCTTTTACATGTTTGCCCGTTCACAAAGATTCCACATCCGGTTGCCAACAGCGACCGTCACTAATCTGCTCCGCCGCGTACTGAGTGAGCGCTGCCCATCAACAGCTTACAGTAGCATCATTCCTCAACAGCGAAAACAGCTAAACTTAGATGGAGATCTGAAGCTTTGCAATATTGCTATCATTGGTCAAAGTTAACTCCGTCCTGTTTGCTACGGGAGAGAGGTCAGACGAGACAAAGGCAAAGATAATAGTTCAGCACAAGTAGATTGGTCTATGCCTTTCTCCTTGCCGATCATAATAACATGCACGGAAATTTGTTATAAATATAAAACCCTTTTTAAGATTTCGAGCCACTTTCGTGAATAAATGTAAAAAAAAAAAAAAAAAAAAAAAAAAATATATATATATATATATATATATATATAATATATATATATATATATATATATATATATATATATATATATATATAATATATATATATATATATATATATAAATATATATATATATATATATATATATATATATATATATATATATATATATATATAATCTTAGGCAAAGGCGCAACTTAATTCGCTTGATAAATAGCTAAGTAAATAAAGAGGGAAAGAGACAGAAGAATAAATAAAATAGATACACATATTGAATATAGATAAGTATCTGAATAAATAAATAAACAAATAAAAAGGTAAATAAAATAATACGAAATAGAAATAAGAATTTCCGACCTAGGATAGTCAAACCCCGCAATGAAAAATGCAAATAAGTAATTCCAACGAAGATGAAAATTGGAACGTCAATCAAACCTTTTGCATTGTGGAATTATTCATTCTCCTTCGTACCTTCTACATCCTTTAGAGAAGCAGGATCGGTCTTTAAGGCGTTGGAAAGACCGCTTTGGGCTGGCTTGGGCGCGGGGATGTAATTTTTTTAGGGATCTTTTCGGTGTCATTTAGCGTGAAAACCTTTTTTGTTTTTATTTTTTTGAAATGTTTTTTTTCTTCTTCTTTTCTATTTCTTTTCTTTGATTTTTTTTCACTTTGTAATTCAAAAGAGTAACTTAAAAAAGTAAGGGTAGCGTGAACCTGTTCATTTTTCTCCTTTGTGATTCTAAAGAAACAGCTTTTTCTTTCTTTTTTTTTTAACATGAAGCTGTTAATTTTTCGATCTTGTAATTCTAACGACCCAACAATTTTTATCAGTCTTTTAATCTTTTTATTAGTTTTTATTAGTCTTTTTTAACGCGAAGAAATTACTTTTTTTTCTACTTTGTAATTCAAAAGGTCAAGTATCACTATTTTACCATCTATTCATTTCATACAATGTATTTCTTTCTTTCTTTATTTATTTACTTTTTTTTCACTTTACACTTTAACCACTATACGACTACTCACCACAGCGTAGGGTCAGTGGAGTACGAATATTGTTTTGATGTTTTCTGATGATATCAATTACTTATCGGATAATTATAATAACTACCCCTAATAATTATGATAACAATGATAGTGGTAAGGATAATGATAATGATAGTGGCAATAATGATATTAATAATAATGATAATAATAGCAGCAATAATAATAATAGTAATAATGATAATAATAATAATAATAATTATTATTATCATTATTATTATTATTATAATAATGATAATAATAATGATAATAATAATAATAATAATAATAATAAAAATAAAAAATAATCATGATAATAATAGTAATAATAATAATGATAATAATGATGATTATAATAATAAAATAATGATAATAATGATAATAATAATGACGATGATACTACTACTACTACTAATAATAATAATGATAATAATAATAATGATAATGAGAGCAACATAAACAAAACAAAACAACAATAATGATAATAACAATAAAATTACTATTACAATGACAAATAATAGCATTTGCCATAAAACCCACTTCCCATTATATAAACACTAATAAATCCTACTAAATGACATGTAGATTACACCCCCCCCCCCCACAACCTAATAAAAAAGATAATGAATTAAAATGATTAAAGTCTGAAAAAAAAATCTGAGTACATTCATTTCCATTTACGTACAGTATCATTATCGTATTATTATTATTATTATTCGTATACTGTACTGAAATTCCCCTTTTAAAACCAAAAAACACTGACCTGTTTTCTTTATATATTTTACAAAGTCTTAACTAATCCCCTCCCTCCCCCCCCCCATTTTTTTTTCCTTTTTTCTTTTCTTTTTTTTAACATAATTCCAGTTTTTTTTCTATTGATAAATGGATGTACGAAAAGTGGAATTTTTCTCTTATCTAGAGTTATCATCTATTTTCTAATTAAATTTCATAGTGAGGATATCTAGGTCTCTGTTATTAAGGGTGTGATTGATTATCTTTTGTCCGATGAGGAAAACAGAGCAGAAAAAATGAGCTTCTTGGTTAATGAGAAGAAGAAGAAGAAAGAAAAAGAAAGAGAGAGAGAGAGAGAGAGAGAGAGAGAGAGAGAGAGAGAGAGAGAGAGAGAGAGAGAGAGAGAGAGAGAGAGAGAGAGAGAGAGAGAGAGTGAGAGAGAGGGTGGGGGGAGAAAGAGGATGAGAAAGATAAAGAAGAGAGAGAGAGTAAGAGAGAAAGAGAGAAAGAAAGAGAGAGAAAGAGAGAGAGAGAGAGAGAGAAAGAGAGAGAGAGAAAGACAGAAATGGAGCTAGAAACAGAAACGAACAGACAGACAGACACAAAAAACACACCCTACACAACTGTACACAAAAAACACACCCATCAACACCGACCAATTGTCTACTATTACTCTTTGAAAATGTATAATCATCTTTATTATGTTTCTATTCATTCACCCTTTTTTCTTCTCTTTCCCTCATTCCCTCTTTTTTTCTCTCTCTCTTTTAATTTAGTTTATATTCCTTTGCGTAATTATAAAAGTCCTCTGTAGATGAATGTCGAAGTCCGATTCAGTTATTTTTCTAACATATTCAATGTATTAGTAAAAAGTTGTTTATATACTTATGTGTACCTCTTTGTATATTATTCTTGTTTTTTGTTTATGTTTATCCTCTATGTGTGTATTTACGTGCGTGTGTGTATTTGCGCGAGAAGATATCTAGCAAGTACACAGTTCATGTAATTAATGGTAGTGATATTATTATTATTAATGATATCAGGAGGATATTAATACTAATAACAATAAAACTGATACCAAAAAGAAGCAAAAACAACAACAACAACAACAACATCGTATCTTTTTGTCTGTACATTAAATTTCATTTCCACATTAATACCTTTTTTTCTGTATTTTCTCTGCATTTCTGAATTAAACGCGAGTGGAATTCCTAGAAATGCCCAAGTACTGTGAATTAAAATTATATTAACCTTGAAATTCAAACAAAGTTGATTAAAAAATTATGTTTTTTTATTTTTGTATTTTTTTTTTTTTTTACGAAAGCCTGGTAGAAAAGTCGAAAAGAAAATATTTCTCAGAAAGCTTAGTATAAAATAACATAAGCAACAGAAGATTTTAAAATGAGCAAAGAGAGGGGGTTAAACAAAACAAAACAAAAAAATAGTGCATGGGGGAACTTTTTGTTGCAAAATTAAAATATTGCATCTTCCTCGCATTTTTGGCCTAAGATTAAAGCATGCTGTTTTACTGTATATATTATAGTTATTGTCTTTGAGTATGATTATTGTTTTCATTGTTATCATTATTATTATTACATATTTTCATCATTAACATTAAAAACTAGAAAAGCACTCAGAGAGTGCAGACCTCCGCCAAGGTGCGTATATAATGTACTTACACCGCTGCTGCGTCCAGACGGTAATTCGGAATGTCAGTGAAATGTGGTACACGTTTCCCGTAGATTTGTATACTTTATTGATTAATTAATGATAATAATAATAATAATAACCAGACGGTAATTCGGAATGTCACCAAAATTTAATCAGTTCTAAGTTAGTCCCTTTCTGACTTGTCCCCAAAAATTCGATGAAATCCGGCCAGCACTTTTTGAGCTAGGCTGCTAACAAACAAACTAACCAACAAACCAACGCCGTCAAAAACATAACCTCCTTGGCGGAGGTAAAAAAATACTTCTACAGAGACCTTTATAAATATCACACAAATATGTCGTGCATAAATCATCTCTTTAATCTTAGTAATATTTTTATTTTCTTAGTAAGCACAAGAAAAAAAGAGTTAATTGAGTTTCCATGTGCTGTTTCGAATATATGTATATATATATATATATATATATATATATATATATATATATATATATATACGCCAGGTATTACTAGAGGAGCAATTAAAAGAAACGCGTTTTTAGTTTTCCTTCTCTCTCTCTCTCTCTCTCTCTCTCTCTCTCTCTCTCTCTCTCTCTCTCTCTCTCTCTCTCTCTCTCTCTCTTTCTCTCTCTCTCTCTTTCGCTCACAATCTTGCTCCTTCTTGCTCTGCCTACCGCTCTTTCTGTCTCTATTTACTTCCTGTGTGATATGTAATGTCTGTCAATTAAAAACATACTTCCAGGAATGACCTTCAGTGATGTTTATAGTTCGTTGTATAGATTAATGTTTG